ATCAGGTTGAGAGTGACGCAGCCAATGGAGAGGTCAAACATTGTAACGAAAGGTCAACACGGCTCTAGAAGGAGGAGGGGGAAACGGTAAGGCTGGGTAGACTGTGCTTTTCCTAGACTATCCAAATGCCTTTGACATTGTTCCTCCTGAGAGGCTGGTGTGCAAGATGGAGAAACAAATATATATATATATATATATATATATATATATATATATATATATATATATATATATATATATATATATATATATATATTAAAGTTGACCAAATTTGATCATTAATTGACCGCCAAACCATGAGCCTCGTTATCATAACTGCCTCTCACATATTATAACCGTATCAGGGCTAAGGTCAATAACGAATGATAGATGAGTCAATAACGTATGACAGATGGGTCAATAACTCATCAGGTAATGAGCAACGGGATGCTGCAAGCGGGGGTACTGAGCATCATATCACCTGTGATGGATTATGATTGATGCTTCGAGTACCTTGAGATTTTGATGGGGGTCTATCTTAAGTTATTACTTGATGTAGGAGTTGGCGTTGCAGGCATTCAGGTCTAGATCTTGACAGGTGTGGAAATTGGTGTTATAGGTGTGGACAGATATGAGGCAGGTATGGACACACACACATGAGAGCCAGGTGTGGAGATAAGTGGATGCACAGGTGAGGCCGATGTCGACATAGATTAGTCAGGTGTGATCACTTATGTGAGCTCAAGTGAAGCAGGTGTGGACACTCCTGAGGCAGATGTGGAAGCATATGAATCAGATGTGAACACAGGTGATACAGGGTGGTCGCAGAGATGAGATAGATTTGACCACAGGTGTGTTTGTGTGTGTGTATGGCAGGTATATATATATATATATACATAGACATATGTGTGGCACATATAAACACACGTGCAGTCGAAAACGAACCCATCTGTACTGGCTGACGTCTTTAGTGGTTACAAGAAAGGAAGTTATTAAATAACAAATTAAAGCCAAATCGATTCCAAGGGTCGTACGGGTGTCATGGAGGGTTGCTAATGTATACCCAGCTGGGGGAAAGGGGCCCTAGCAGGGGACGTAGCATGCCTAGCAGGACCCTAGCTAGGGTTTATATATAGCTAGGCACATCACGAAATTGAATTAGAATCAGCCTCGTGGAGAGACTTAGTTCATCTCGGGACTGATAAGGCATATCTAATGCCTTACACTATTATCTTGAAAAAATATAATACAAAGTTCTTCGATTTTAATCAAACGTTTTTGGAACAGTAAAAAATGAAGCGTTTGATGAGTAATTCTAAGCGACTTGGGGGTTTAGAGGGTGATTGTATTTCCTTGGAAATGCTTCCAGGATCCTTGTAGATTCTTGTAAAAAATTTAATTCCTCAAGTGACCACACAATAAGCACCAGGATGCCCCAGGGTAATGTGCTCCGGAGTAGCGGTATTGAACTCGTCCACGGGAGAAATATTGAACCCGTCCACAGGAGAAATATTAAACCCGTCCACAAGAGAAATATTAAACCCGTCCACAAGAGAAATATTAAACCCGTCCACAAGAGAAATATTAAACCCGTCCACAAGAGAAATATTAAACCCGTCCAAGGAGAAATATTAAACCCGTCCACAGGGGAAATATTAAACCCGTCCACAAGAGAAATATTAAACCCGTCCACAGGGGAAATATTAAACCCGTCCAAGGAGAAATATTAAACCCGTCCACAGGGGAAATATTAAACCCGTCCACGGGAGAAATATTAAACCCGTCCACAAGAGAAATATTAAACCCGTCCACAGGAGAAATATTAAACCCGTCCACAAGAGAAATATTAAACCCGTCCACAGGGGAAATATTAAACCCGTCCACAGGGGAAATATTAAACCCGTCCAAGGAGAAATATTAAACCCGTCCACAAGAGAAATATTAAACCCGTCCAAGGAGAAATATTAAACCCGTCCACAGGGGAAATATTAAACCCGTCCAAGGAGAAATATTAAACCCGTCCACAAGAGAAATATTGAACCCGTCCACAAGAGAAATATTGAACCCGTCCACAGGGGAAATATTGAACCCGTCCAAGGAGAAATATTAAACCCGTCCAAGGAGAAATATTAAACCCGTCCAAGGAGAAATATTGAACCCGTCCAAAGAGAAATATTAAACCCGTCCACAGGGGAAATATTAAACCCGTCCAAGGAGAAATATTAAACCCGTCCACAGGAGAAATATTAAACCCGTCCACAAGAGAAATATTAAACCCGTCCACAAGAGAAATATTGAACCCGTCCACAAGAGAAATATTAAACCCGTCCACAAGAGAAATATTAAACCCGTCCACAAGAGAAATATTAAACCCGTCCACAGGAGAAATATTAAACCCGTCCACAGGGGAAATATTAAACCCGTCCACAAGAGAAATATTAAACCCGTCCACAAGAGAAATATTGAACCCGTCCAAGGAGAAATATTAAACCCGTCCACAAGAGAAATATTAAACCCGTCCACAAGAGAAATATTAAACCCGTCCACAGGAGAAATACTGAACCCGTCCAGAGTAGAAGTATTGAATCCGCCAGAAACGAGCTACTGAACTTCTCAGAAATCCTTATTAGTACACGCGAGTTAATCTCGGAGAGTTTGTGCATTTGGAAGATAATTGCACAATGACTTTTATCAAGAGAGGCGAGTGAAGAAAAAAAAAACATACCAGCGTAAACACCTTAATTAAAGTCGCCACAACTACATTATCTTAAGGAGTGACGTTGACAAGTTACTGTCGACGAGGCTTTGATGAGACAAGACGAGAGAATTTGAGCCAGAAAGTCATCAAATATTTGATGGATATCATTTACGAAACCTGTAAATCTTTCAGGAAACATAATGGGGGTTTTATTTACGTTTATTAAACAGTTTGCGAGCTTCGAATTCTATCACAACCCAAGGTGGTTATTATTAAAAAAAAAAAACACCTCGTAGCGTTCCGAGCTCATAAAGAGTTTAATAAAGCAAGTGTGTGTAAACAAACACCCCTCCCCCCCCCCTTTTGGAATTGAGGAAAAGATGTAGAGGTTTCGGAACGGGTTGATGGATCTTAGTCCGGTCCTCCAGGAGACTTGAGACAGACAAATAAGTCTAAGTGACATATACAACACCGTTACAAGTCGCAAATTAGATCCATCAAGGTGAGATTACCATTCAGTTTGGGTGCCCCCCCCCCCCCTCTCTCTCTCTCTCTCTCTCTCTCTCTCTCTCTCTCTCTCTCTCTCTCTCTCTCTCTCGCTCTCTGCCTCTCTCTCTCTCTCTCGCTGGTCTTATCTCACTTGGATAAGACCAAATTCAAGACCAGTCGTCCTCCCCCCACAAACAAATATGAGAAGCAAATAATGCAATGGACTTGGTGCTGGGCGTCCTACGTCGTCGTCCGAGGATTATGAGGAGGATGATTATGAGGATGAGGAGGAGGAGGAGGATTAGGAGGAGGAGGAGGATTAGGAGGATTAGGAGGAGGAGGAGGTTTAGGAGGAGGAGGAGGATTATGAGGAGCAGGATTATGAGGAGGAGGAGGAGGATTGGGAGAAGGAGGAATATGCAGATGAGGATTATGAAGAGGAGGATTAGGAGGATTACCAGCACCACCCAACGTAATATCACCATGGCTGTCGAATGAAGCCACAGAGACACAATAAAACCCTTAAGACTGGAAACCTCCCAAGATACTGGACAAAAAGGCCCTATTTAAAAAAAAAGGAAACAAAGAAAGTAATAAGTTACAAAGTGTCACTGACAAGTGTTTCGTGTAAAGTGCTGGAAAAAAAAGTAATCAGGTTGAGAATGATTGAAAGTTTGAAGACCAGAAACTTTGAAAGAAAAAAAAGCATGGATTTAAGAAAGGAGGAAAGTCGTGCCTGACAAACTTGATGAACTTCTAAGACAAGAGTTACTGAAATATGACCGGCGAGGGGGGGGCGGGGATGGAAATGGGGGCTAGGTAGACTGTCCTTTTCCCACACTGTCAAGGAGGATTTGATACTGTTGCTTACTTATATATAAACAGTTATAGAGCTCTCTCTCTTTCCCGTAGACACTGATAGGTCAGAACCTACACTATCACCACCACTATCACCACCACCATCACCACCACCACCACCACCATCACCACCACCACCATCACCACCACCACCACCATCATCACCATCACCACCACCACCACCATCACCACCACCACCACCATCACCACCACCACCACCACCACCACCACCACCACCACCACCACCACCACCACCACCACCACCACCACCACCACCACCACCACCCAGAATGTCAACATCAGCTGACCAAGGTATGTCTAATCCAAGGTAAAATTCCTGGCATTATCCATCCCTGTGTTTGTTTAAGAGCGCTGGTTACCACTCCCCCTCCTCCTCCCCCCCCCCCCCGTCCTCACGCGTCCGGAGCTGGCGACACCCCTGCCAACTTTGTGTCCGAAGCTGGTGGCAACGAGAGATATGGCAAAAGTGAGTCAAAAGGGGGCAGAGAACATAACATATATTTTTGTTCTATGCAACGGAGGAAGGGGGGGAGGGAACGTTGTTCCGCGTTGCAAAACATAGAACAATATATCCCCCCCCCCCCTCTGTGATTTTGGGGTATCCGTGTCGCTAAGATTTTGAGGCTAGGTGACACCGCTTACTGTGTCAGACGATAGATACGACGATGATGGTCGAGGACCGGGCCGCGGGGACACTAAAAGCCCCGAAATCATCTCAAGATAACCTCAAGATAACCTGACACTTGGTTCAGTTATTAGTGTCAGACATAGCGCTGTGATATATATATATAGTTCAACTACTAGTGTCAGAAGATGGTACGGACACATGAATCAGTTACACAACTGTGTCAGACGACACCTGCGACACGTGGTTCCATGATCTACATGGAAACCAGTCCGGACTGACGTCGTCTCTCTCCGAGCGAACAATCCCTGCTGAAGGCGCCGTACTCACCTCATCTGTTGAGCCAACGCCACGGGAGGGTGCGTCATGGGGGGTGGTAAGACTGCGTCCAAGGTTCTCTCTTGTGCTTGACGCAACGGTTCCTGTGGGCCAGCCGGCCATTCCAGGCGCCTGGAATCACCGGCCCGGGGCATCAGCTTGGTGCTGGAGCTGCGGTCACCAGCACCGTAGGTTACTGGAGTATTGGTGCCGCAGGAGACGTAAGATGGCGCTGTGGCCTGCTGCTGCTGCTGCTGCACATCACCGATGGACCAGCGGCGGCGAGTTCGAGGTGCTGGTGGCCGACGGTGCTGGTCGAGCTTCGCTTCGGCATTCAGTTTCTCTGTGCTACTGCTGCGCTTCTGCGGCCGTCGCTGTACCGCCGTGGCTGTGGCGCTGCTGTTGACTCGTTTCCTGACGGCGCCTGTACGTCTAGACGAGGCATCTAACACACTTTTGTGCTCCAGTTCCTCTGCCTCTTCCTCTAATGTCGTCGCTTGGCCGTGCTGCTGGCTCCTGCAGGCGTCTGGTGATGGGGTGTCGACTACTTCAGACGAAGACGCACTCGCTGTATTGCTGTTTACACTTGGAATACACACGATCTTGTCATTGTAGAGGCGTGGGGGTTCGCCGAAATAGACGCGGGTGATGTGTTTGACATTTGGCGGCGTCGTCGGCAGAGAATCAGTATCGTTTTGGGCGTTGGAAGACTCCCCGGAGTCGGAGTACCCGGAGTCCTGAGACCGGTGGGAAGGGGAGCCTCGTAGGGAGCCTCCAGGGGATACCTCCTCTCCAGAACTGGAGGCTTCCTCGCCCGCCTCCGGAATAACAGGCTCCGGGATGCTCTTATGGCGCGTCCAGAAGCCCCTCGGAAGGTTGTTAGCCGGCCAGCAACCATCTTCCGAGGCGTAGTACACCCGTGATCCGCCTCGCCTGAAGTTGTGGAGCCTTGGTACCTCCTTCACGCTCTGCGCCATCTTGAGACCTTCAATGAGCCACTCTTCTCGACCATCTGTGGAAGAGACACAAAACACATCATTAGTTTTCATCGCAGCGTCAATGGAAGCCAAAGGTCAGCTGAGAACAGATCAAATCTGAGGTAAACAGAGAGGAAGAAGGTCCATTCAGGCTCGCAGCCGCTCTGGAGAGATACACACTAACATCAGGGTGACCACTGCTCGGGCTGGAAGCCACACAGGTTCTTCTAACACACACAAGAAGCCCCGAGGAACTGACAAGTGTCTCGCCGAGAGCAAACATCGACCACTTCTACGGGAAGCGGCCCACGCGGGGATTAATTATATCAGGAGTTTAGAACCGCATCTCCCACCTTGATACCGAGTTCATTCATTGTGTGAGGCGATGGATGGCGGGCCGGGTACTCACCCAGTTGTACTCACCTAGTTGTGCTTGCGGGGGGTTGAGCTTTGTCTCTTTGGTCCCGCCTCTCAACCGTCAATCAACTGGTGTACAGATTCCTAAGCGTTTACAGGCCAGGTGTGACGAGGCAGGTGTCTAGAGCCAAGTGCAGCATGCCCGTATACACACACCCGTCAGGACGGAAGAAAAACACCCACCTAGTGTGACGCCGAGACGGTGCAGGAGGGAGGCTGAGATGCCTGGCGGAGAGAAGAAGAGAAAGGAACCGAGGGAATAAATTGTGAGAAAAGATGCAGAGACAGAAGAAAGATGAAGACGGAACTACGTAGAGAGAAACAGGGGAGAGAGAAGGACAGAGGGACGTGAATGAGAGAGAACAGAAATTAAAAACTGTTGCAGAATCCGAGAGAGAGAGAGAGAGAGAGAGAGAGAGAGAGAGAGAGAGAGAGAGAGAGAGAGAGAGAGAGAGAGAGAGAGAGAGAGAGAGAGAGAGAGAGAGAGAGAGACAGACAAGGGAGGCCATCCAACACCGCCACTGGAGCCAGACTCAGGATAATCCTCTCCCGTACAATCTTCATCATATCTGACAGGCCGCCGGCCGCTCCTTTAAGGCCGGATTAAATCACCAGCGAGATGTGCACATCAGCGCGACACCCATCGCTTCCATTATCGTTCCCCTCCCTTCACCTGTACACCTACACCTACTAGTGTACCGAAACCTAGTTAGCGATCTCCCTCTCATTCCTAAGTGATACCGCGGAGTATTTTCAACACCCCGAGGTACTGGGAGCCTGATTTGTGTTAAAAATACCAGAGGACTTCCACGCCCTCTGAGGACTCCAGAGGCATCCCACGTTGAGGAGTTCGAAGGACCTGAGGACTCCAGAGGACTCCAAAGGACTCCCACGCCCTCTGAGGACTCCAGAGGCATCCCACGTTGAGGAGTCCGAAGGACCTGAGGACTCCAGAGGACTCTTACGCCTTCTGAGGACTCCAGAGGCGTCCCACGTTGAGGAGTTCGAAGAACACGGGGTGCGGGTCTTGTCTAATTATGGACACAGGGCCTCGCCAGTCCCGAAAACATTGAGAATAACCGAGACAGAGAGAGACAGAGGAAAATAATTCTTGAAATATCAGAAGAGTATCGACCAGAAAAAAACGGTTCATATACATTCCCTATATCGCGCATTAAAAAATAAACGGTAAGCCCGAAGCCGATCAAAACAGGATGTATGGGCGGACTGCGACAGCCTAGCTGGCATTTAGTAGCCAGAGAAAAAGTCCGTTTCGTGCAAAAAAAAAAAACAAAAAAACTCACTACTCTTGCACTTGTTATCAAAAGGTTATGGAACGGGACGAAAGATTGGCAGACGCAGTTTACTTCTGATAATGGTAGGGTGTAGAGTTTACCAGATATCGGCTGGGCAGGACGTCGAAATTGGCAGGTCTGAATGAGGGGGGGGGGGAGGGGAGGGGGGGGGGAAGATCTGGGGTCGTGATTGGTTGGAAACTAAAGCCAAAAACGCAATTAATAAATGTCCAGAAGAAGGGGAAATAGGATAGTGGGCTACGACATTTACCCTGTCGTAACTCAGTCGATTAAGGCAGTGTCTGGGATGCTCCCGGACGCAGGTTCGAATCCTCGTCACGGCCCTTGTGGATTTGTTTAGGATAGTGGGTTTTATTTCTAGAAGCGTTTTCCCAAAACAGCAAAATCAATCAAGTACAGGCGACAGGAAGGTCAGTACACCTTTGTTCCCATAGCGTCTGAGACGCATGGCCCCTGGGGTAGGAGTGCCTTGGGATTCCTCAAAGAATTGGGCTCAAGGCTCATTGACATCATCAGGCTTCCAGTTTCTTGTTTCAGCGCCTCAGTGTGGCGATCCAGAGAGGAAACGCCTGCTGCGTCCTCGGTTCCTGTCCGGAAGCGGAGGAGTTCCAAGAGATCCATAACCTTTAAGCACTCATTGTATCTTCTTAAGGTCATCTTGAGATGATTTCGGGGCTTTAGTGTCCCCGCGGCCCGGTCCTCGACCAGACCTCCACCCTCAGGAAGCAGCCCGTGACAGCTGACTAACACCCAGGTACCTATTTTACTGCTAGGTAACAGGGGCATAGGGTGAAAGAAACTCTGCCCATTGTTTCTCGCCGGCGCCTGGGATCGAACCCAGGACCACAGGATCACAAGTCCAGCGTGCTGTCCGCTCGGCCGACTGGCTCCCTACCTATCAACCAAATGTACATCTTGTAACGTTCAAATATCTAACAAAGCACGACAACAACAACAGGAAGGAGGTAGTAGGAGAAAATGACATAAAAACAGTATGTGTGCCTTTCTCCGAGGCTCTGGGTCCCCACCAACCAGGGAATAGATATATAAATATATATATATATATATATATATATATATATATATATATATATATATATATATATATATATATATATATATGCCAGCGATGTTGATATAAGCGATGCTGCCCCCCTGAAGGATGGTCCCTCCTACTGGACCATCCTTCATGGACAAGAAGGATGATACCAGTGGTACCACAGTCTCGCCTAACGAGCCGTTCCTGGCCATCAAAGACCATAATATACTCCCCCCCCCCCCCCCCCCTGAGAGGCAGGAGTGGTCGTGCCCTCCACCACCGTCTGAGACGCTGGACAAGACGTTATCACTGACCTTCCTTTTATCTGGCAGAGGATCAGTCATCTGTTTGACGGATCCATCATCAGTGTTTATATCTTGCAGCGACGAGACGTCTGAGTGGCTGTCTGTGTACAGAAAGGTGTCTTGAGAATAGCAGATATCCAGAGATATCCAGACTCGCATCCTTATATCTTGAGACACTAAGAGATGAACAAACTGGACTGTATGGCCGGGTGTAGGCGAAGTGTACCATTACCTCTCGTGATCAGCCACAGGTAAACACAGGTAAATGTGTGTGTGTGTGTGTGTGTGTGTGTGTGTGTGTGTGTGTGTGTGTGTGTGTGTGTGTGTGTGTGTGTGTGTGTGTCACTGCTGAAGCGGTGGTATAATCTTGCCAAATCGCTTCCACCTTTATGGCAATTAGTCTATGCCTGCAAGCCGGTGGTTATCGTGATGGCTGGGCTATCTTGAAGGATAAGGTTATCTTGATGGCTGGGGTATCTTGAAGGATAAGGTTATCTTGATGGCTAGGAGCTGGGAGTGTTATCGCCTATCAAGGCGATCTCTGCCGGCAGGTATTGTCTTCCCTTCTGCCGGGCGTGTGTGGAAGATTAACTTAGATATCTAAGTTATCTCCACGCACCATTATAACATCTAAGATATAATTCTTAAAGATAACTGGGAAAAGCCTCAAAGCGTGAAATGCCACTCTTTCCAACACAGACGAGAAAGATATCATTACATTCACGAGGGAAGTACTAGAAGACCCGATTTCAAACCGACACGATAACTATGTCGTGTCGGAAGCCGGTCGGCCGAGCGGACAGCACGCTGGACTTGTGATCCTGTGGTCCCGGGTTCGATCCCGGGCGCCGGCGAGAAACAATGGACAGAGTTTCTTTCACCCTATGCCCCTGTTACCTAGCAGTAAAATAGGTACCTGGGTGTCAGTCAGCTGTCACGGGCAGCTTCCTGGGGGTGGAGGCCTGGTCGAGGACCGGGCCGCGGGGACACTAAAAGCCCCGAAATCATCTCAAGATAACCTCAAGATGTCGGCATACCGGAGGAAGATCGATATATGGCAGGAAGTGCACAATATATCAAATAAAAAAGTGAGGTGCAAATAAACCCAACTAGAGAACCCAGTTTAAACATCACAACCTCCGGGACTCTTAAAAACCTCACGTTAACTACAACCATACAGGCAATAGAGGTTGTTAAGAGATAAAAACAGCCTCCCATACAATAATCAAGCTTCTATGAAAGAATGATAAAAGTTGCATGATAAAAGCTGCAAGAATGATAAGCTGCAAGAATGAAAAAAGCTGCAAGAATGATAAAAGTTGCCAACACCTCACGTAGAGACCGCAAAAAGGGGTGAGCATTTTGTCATCATTCATGTATATATTTAACCTCCTCTCTCTCTCTCTCTCTCTCTCTCTCTCTCTCTCTCTCTCTCTCTCTCTCTCTCTCTCTCTCTCTCTCTCTCTCTCTCTCTCCTCTCTCTCTCCCTCCCCCCTCCCCCCCCCCCTCCGCCGGTCCGTGGGTCTCTAACGACCACATAATGGATTGTGGTTGGCTAGTTAGCAGTGTGATTAGCAGATTAATCAGCGGTAAGCCGTGTGTCGGAGACAGGAGATCCAATCACCTCGAGCTCTCTCTGATTCGCCATATTGGGGCGGCCGATTGAATCCATTAGCATAGTTTGATAGACGCCCGGAGTGTTCTGGTGTGGCTGAGGACGGATGAAGATGCTGAGAGAGTGGGAGATGAAGATGCTGAGGGTGGGATATGAAGATGCTGAGGATAGGGGATGAAGATGCTGAGGATAGGGGATGAAGATGCTGAGGACAGGGGATGAAGATGCTGAGGATGGGGGTGAAGATGCTGAGGGAGATGGGGATGAAGATGCTGAGGATAGGGGATGAAGATGCTGAGGATAGGGGATGAAGATGCTGAGAAAGATGGGGATGAAGATGCTG